AAAGACTGGTCCTAGACCATTTTCTGCAAAGGTAGTATGAATGTTTGCTACTGCCTGCCCTCCATTTTATCTACTTCGGCAACTCTCACCTACATTTACCTCCATTTTAGGAAAAAAAGTATATTTATTGCCAAAAGAGCAACATTTTGTAAGGCTGATCAACTCCTTTGTTTCCTCGGTACTAAAAAAAAAAAAATCACAAAATCATCAGATCCTGTTCAGGCTGGCAGGGACCTGGTACGGTCTCCAGCTCAGCTGTGGGCTAAGACCAGGCTGCTCAGGGCTTCAACAGGTGAGGACATGAAACTCCCCAGGCTGAAGAAGGCATGACATCTTGGGCCCATACCCAGTGCTGGGCTCTCCTCATGGAGAACGAGAAAAGGCTTTTCCTTATCTCCAGACTGAGCCTTCCACGTGTTTGAGTTTGTGCCAATGCCTATTGCCATCCTACCATCCACCACTGTGAAGTCTACTTGAGGCTCCTGAATGCCAGGGATGCTATTGGGTGCGCCCCCAAAGCTGCATTTTCTCCCAGCTGAACCAGCCCTGGTCCCACAGCCTTTTCTCCTGGGCCAAGCGCTCCAGCCCAGGACCATGGCACTGGCTGTTTGCTGAACTTGACCGTGTTTATTGACACCCTTTCTCTGTTAGAGGTCAAAAGCAGATGCAGTGCCCAGATGTAGCCTGATGAGCATTTTGACAAGGGGCCAAACCCTACTCTCTCCTGGCTTTTAGGGCCATGTCCTGCTAATACTATTACTACAGGCACTGCTGGCCTTTGCTACTGCCTGGCCCCAGCCTGCATTGCTGCCAGGCTCTGCTTTCCCAGGGCAGGGCTTGGCCTTTGTCCTTGCTGAATTTCATTGGATCCTGGTCAGCCTCTCCCTCCCTGTGTGCTAGTTTCTCAAGACAGCAGCTCCACCTTTAAGTGCATTCTTCCCCCATCACCTATTTGGTGTCCTCCACATGCTTCTCAGGGTTCCCAATAAAGATACTGAACATGACTCATCCCAGGATAGACACTGTGGTACCCTACTTGTTTCCCACCTCCAGATAGAGCATGACCCTCAGACTCAGAGTATGTAACCAGTTTTTACCCAGCTCGTTGTCCTCCCACACAAATTGCAATGTCCCAGTTTGGACAGAAGAATAACCCGAAATAATGCCAAAATCCTAAAGGCTTAGGTTACCCTTGGTAACTCTGTGAAGACTGTTTCTGATGCATTTATCAGAATGTGTGAAGTTGCTTCATATAATTGGATACATCCATCAAATTTTATCACAGTGGTATCAGTACCTTGACATGGGAGCGTGAGGGGGAGGGGCAGAGGGAGAGGAGTAGCTAAAGCCCCAGTGAAGAACACCAGAAATTTTCCTTAACTGTCCCATACCAAGTAAGTTACTTACCTTTCTATGTCCTCACAAGACAGCCTTCTAAACATTTTCATTCCAGGCCTGAGAGGAATGAACCTCCTAAACAACATACTCTACTGCTGCATTTGTGAGCTAAAAACTTCAACCACACCACATTACACACCTACCAAATCACAGGCTATGTTCTTGAACAGCAAATTTTGAAGCTTTTTCAGGAGTAAAGAGAAGTGAAAAACAGCAAGACAGGAATGTATTAAGTTGGCTTCTGCACTTTAACATAGCAGAAGTCTTTCAAGCACCTTCTTCCAGTAAGTGACAAGAACAACCACTGTTGCAAGACAGCTCAAAGGAGGAAAAGCAGCATGTTTCTTCAGACATGACATATCTACAGAGAGTACTTCATTTGCATCTAAGGTTATGGAGTGAAGCGTGCTTCTGTATTGATAAGCTTTTTTCCTTTATCTGAGGTCTCTCATCCTATGTCTTCCAGCCTGAGTCCTTGTATCTGTCCCTTTTCCCTAATCAAGAAAGATGCAGCTTGTACATAAAAATAGATAAGTGGATTTTCACTGTTTCAGCAAAGATCTGTTGGGGGAAAAAAAAAGTATGTCCATTAACAATGTCAGCAAATACAAGTTGGGTTGGGAAAAGGCACACTGCAGCCAGCTGTAGATGAACGAGGTGCAAAAGGGGAAGAAAGTTACAGGAGCAACTTCAATTCCTTTTATGTTCATTCTCCTGTTTTTGCTGGCATTGTAGGTATTTTACATTATTGCTCAAAGGCAGATCAAATAGGAGGCAGAAAAGAATGTGGGAGCAGAGGGACAAGTATTAAGAGAAATTTTAGTATTTGTAAGGGAAAGAAAAAGTCAGTTTCAAAACTAACTTTGCATTCACACTGGCTAGCAGACACTGAACAGAAGTAGGTAGCATTTAGAACCTGAGAGCTTTGTAGTGAGCTGGTAAACAAAAGTTATGCTGTTAACCTTGAATCTACTTCAACAACCAGCTACAGCTGTACTTATGTATCTATTAGCCACAAGTTCTTCAACAGGAATACAAAGGCAGCTTAACAGTAGAATCTGACCAAACAGGCTGTTAATGTCCCATTACTCTGCGAGCCCACGAAACTGCAGCAGAGGAGCTGAGACAAAGATTATCTCCAAGAATTTTGTGGCCACCAGCACAGTCACAGGCTGTTGCTGCAGGAGTGCTTAGTATAGCTATACCACTTTCAGTAGATGCCAGGAGAGTCACATGACAGAGCAATAAAACAGAGTCAAACACTTGCAGATGGCAGGGAAAAAAAAAAAAATGTTCTAAGATAGTAAGGCATTTGTCTACACAAGTTGGATCTGTTTTTACAGAAGGAATCCTTGACTGCTCTCCAAGCCTGTGGAAGTAAACAACGATTTCATAATACAAAAATGTAAACCTAATGAGATTAAGAGCCAAATAACACCTGCAATGAAGAAAAGGCCATCTTTTATCATCTCCTGCTACTGCCTGATATTCCCCACTCCTCCTCCCTCCTGCTATTTGAAGGCATGTCAGTTTTACCTGGTAAAGTGCTAAATCTCCTACTTACTACAGAAACTACTTCTGTGTGCCAAGGTCCTATTCTCACAACCTTGTTTAGCACACTGAACTAAAGTCAGAAAACAAGTTCACAGAGCCCACAGCTTCTCTAAGAACTAACTCAGGCTCTCAAAATAGATTTAGTTGCAACCTCAACTGAATGTTAACCTCAGGGAGAAATTTCTTTACTGGTCTACTCCATATACCATTTGGTACAACACTGGTGACAGGAATGAACTTTAGCAAAGAAGTAGAGCTGTTCATCTTCTGTACAAAGACTAAAAAGGCAGAGTGTTTTGCCTGTATTTAGCTGCCACACAAATTTTAAACTAACAAGCATACCAAGAATTACACTTTCCATTTTGTCACGTTTTCACACAAATAGTTTGTAGTATCCTGAGTAAGACATTTAACTGAAAAATAATCCTTACATATTGGGCTGATACAAAAGGTACTTTATCCCAAAAAAGCACTCAGCAAAATAGATATAATATTCTTAGCCAGAAACTTCAGCAGTCTCCTTACATCCTAATCCTTGCAAGACATTTTAGTCCATCATGCATTCTAGATATACAAAATGTCTACAGACAGAAAAGAGTTGCCAGTGATAGCTGGCTAGAAGCTTCAACTTCCCAAAGAGTAGTGAGCTTGCTAGAAACAATTTATTTTAAATCTGCAGAAGTTGGCAGCTGTCCTCTCATCTCTCAAGAAAGAAGTCTATAATACACAGAATATGGCTAAGAGAGCAGACTCCAGCTGTAACACAATTGGAACAGGCATTAGAGCCAAGACCAGGAACTGATCCAAGTTCTGACTCAATTTTTATCGTTACTATTTGAGGCATGATTGATTGAGAACAATTTGACAAGTCATAACTAAAGCACAGCCAGGAGATTTTTGCTTCTTTCAAACTATTTCTTAGCCTTGAACCTACATCCAATCAGAAGTAATTCTTTACCTTGAAGAGGGAAGGATGAGCAACAGTGAAGCACCTACTGCTACAGGGCAGCAATTCAAGGCCAAGATCCTGCAGTGCCAGGGGAGAAGCCACAACTTCATCCCAGAAAAATAATTTGTCACTAAGGAAACTACTAATTGCTAGAGATGCTACCTTTTAGTCAGTTGGAGACCATCAACAAAAGCTTCCTCTTTCATTATTCCCAATCCCATCAAAGAGCAAAGTGCTTGAAAACCACATAACCTGCAAGTTAGTTCAGTCTTAATCCTTCTCTATTATACAAATGAACTACATATGTACGCTGGATAAGGAACAAACTTTGGTGCTACTAAAATTAGGGCTTTAGGTATGAGACCAAACAGTTATCAATGAGATGATATCAACTTCCCAGACCCAGAACAGCTGTACAATTATTTTTCACTCCTGTGGCCACCTAAGGGAAAGGCTACAGTAGCTCAGGTGATGAGCTTCTTAGAACCATTACAATGAATTGGGCTCCCACACAGAAGGGGACACTAACTCACTGAAGGGGACTTGGGTGATTACACATGTAGCAACATGGGCTTTTTCAGTCCAGGAGCAGACTGCAATTACTAGCTGCCAAGCCACAGCCCTGCTATTGCTTTGCAGAGGCATGGCACCTACCAAGATTCTGCACTGCCATGAGGAGCAACTGCTAGCAGCTTGACATCACTGTGAGCTTGTGCATAACATCCCTTGCAAGCACCTTACACTTACCCAACAGACGATGCTTTGACCTGTCTCCAGGTAGCATCTCTGCCAACGCTACCTGTTAAAAGCTTGCAATAGTAGCTGAATACTTCTAGCCACTGTCAATCCTAACTTATGAGTCCAGCTGTACTTGTATTAAAGAAGATCCATTCAGCTCAGTGCCCTGCAGAACATTAATCTCAAGTACAAATCTCTGTCACCTGGCAGGTCAGTACTGTCTCAGCAGTCTGGGGTAGTGCTGATATAACTTAAATACTTAATATTTTGGCTGGCAGTAGTAGTGTAGCCCACTAAAGCTTTCAACGTAGGACACACTCTGTTTTATTTCATTGCTAACAGAATAATGGAGACCAATACTTTTAACTGCTTAGTTTGTTTTTTTTTATTTTTTTGCCGCTCTTCTGCATTTAAGATTTACAGTGGTTTCTTAAAGAGCATTCATACCTGTATACCTCTATAAGGTAACAGACAAAATTGTTTCAATCATACATAGAAAATTACTTAGGCTTACAAATTTTTGGCAATCGTAGTAACCCGTTTTTTCCTATTGCCGTTGCCCCAACCATTGAAAAAGACAGTGTACAATAAATTTACATTTGAAATATTTCAAAGTGCTTGACAGTGATTTTTCCAAGAATAATATTTACAAGTGACCTATACACATATGTACAGGTGTTACAAGTTGTGGCTGGAATATGGCTTTCTATGGAAAGTGCTTTATATTTGGTCAGTGATGTTACTGACTGACCAATCCAAGGGTTACTGATAAAATGGTAACCACCAAACACTGAATTGTTGTGGACAGGTATTTACAGAGCTTGTTGTTAAGCTATATAAAATAGCTATTTACATAAGTGTTCCATACATACGAAAGTATCTTCTTTCTTCCAAGAATGGAGGAAGTCTTTCAGCCACAAACCTGGTTACTATCCCCAAAGAGTGTAAAACACAAGTAAACTGGAAGTGATTGCTGATCCAGCCTTCACACCATATCATCATCTGTGCTCACAACAGATATCTGTACAAAATAAGTACAAGTTAGCTACAATTGTAATAACAGATGATACAAAACAATGCATATCATCACTATGCAGCAGTTTGAAACAGGGTCTATTTCCGGAGGCTAGTGACCACATTCAGCACTGATTACCCCATCGCAGTTATAGCTGCCTACTGCAGGTTCAACCTTGATTGAAAGGACAACTTCTCAGCTGATTCTGCCCAGAGGTTTGGATGCAGCCAGCAGCTTTCAGGATCAGAGACCGCTCCTAAACTCAATTCAGCTATCATTTGACAGTCTGTCTACTCTGATGATTAACCTGAAGCCTCAAACATATTGATAGGTTTACTTACTGCAGGATAGGTGTGTCCTACTGAACAGCTGTGCCTTCCAATATCAATTGTGAGGTCCTCTTCTGTAGTTTTCAGGTAGACAGGATTATCAAAATTCATGCTTTTCATGTTCTTCTGCTGCCAGTTACGCCACATGAAGTAGCCAGCTACTGCAGCCATCACCAGCAATACTTTAGGGAGAGAAACAGGTTGCAAGTATGGACTAGGATCAGGTCAAGCTCCTCATGAAGAGTGGCTTGTCCCACTGCAAAGGGATCCCAAGGGCTAGAGAATACTCTACTCACAGAGAGGAAGAACAGTCCAAGCTGCTGATGTTCCTCCAGCTGCAGCTACTTCAGATGTTGTACCACTGACGTTGAACCCTGCACAAGAATTTGAAGGAGTGAGCTTGCTTACTGATAGCCTGGCAGACTTTGTCAGGTGTAAGTACTTCCCAAGGCCAGAAGCTGCTAATCATATACTAGCTTCTCATGAATGCACTGCAAGAACAGTGTAACAGGATCCATCCTATGGTGGTAGAAAACTTTTTTTTATTGCTTGCCTTGTCTAAGCACTCCTGGGGATTTCATGGAATCTGTATGTTCCACACTGTCACAAGTGAACTAATTACATTTATCACATGCTCCAGCAATTGTACTTGTACTACATACATGACCTGGCCTGTGTTCTCTACTTGCAAGCAAAGGACAAAACTTCACGTATGCTAGTAGGTCAGTTTGCATTTAACTTCTCTAATGTTTAGCAGTCTTAGTTATTGGGACCAGTACCTCCAGGAACTGGTCCAACAGCTGGGGATTTTTCTGTTGTGCTGGTATCTTTAGCCTCAGTGTAAGTCACAGTTGTTCCAGTACCTGAAACTAATTATAGATCAAGAGCCCAGTTAATCCTGAAGTTCTGCAATGGCTTAGCTATGAAAGCCATGATAGTGAATGCTTAGCTGATGGTAGAATGATCATGCAGCTTATTAGCTTTACTGGAAACACTGACATTAGCAATTTCACTAGCACACCCTCAAGCTGAGGGCTTTTCATCAAAAATAACTCCAAGAACAAGGCTAGTCAGTTAATCAGGATCGAATCACAAGTATTTAGTCATGACAACAGTAAACCACCTCATTCTTCGCTTCTGGTTTTCCAAGTAAGATTTTAGTTCTACAAGTTTACTGGTTAGGTACTGTATCTACAGCAACTCTTTAGATCAGTCAACTGCGGACAGCATCTCTGTGCTCAATGCTCTTACTGTGGCAGTCAAAATCAACATGCAACATAGTACACATCACCTTGGAGTTTCTAGTGCACTCCACTGGACAAACCTGTCACATAGAGTAGTAGCAGCAGCATGTTTATTTGGACCATGAAAGAAGGTCAAAACAAGCTTCCTTGGCAGCAAGATTAGCCTATCAGCTTTTAAACACTGTGTATTTATACACAGTAGAGCCATGTTAGTTTATACCCCTTGTTCTAAAAGAAAGGGGCTCAGTATATTTTGTGCATGTGCTTGCTGTCTACAGAAAGCCATGGAGGTACAAGGTCTTGCTGCAGATGATGATGATGATGCAGAAGCCAAGCATGGACTTTAAACAGCACCTGCAGACTTTGAGGGCCACATTAATGCATGCTGGAAAACCACTCCTTCCAAGATTAATTACATCAGATTAACTCATGCAAAGCTGTCAGCCTATACTGCTGTATTTGCTTCTAACAGGTTGAGTAGCCCTACCCCTCCTCCATGCATCCTGGAAACCATTTCAGTCATGTTACCATACCTGCACACCTCAGACCATCCTCCTGCAAGAAGTATCCAACTGGACATGCACAGGTATACTTTGGAGAATGTTCATTTATCTGAGGAGCAGGCAGGCACAGGTAGCTGCAGCCTCCATTTGCCATGTTCTCTTCACACCAGTTCCTACCTGTTGGTATAGCAAGTGACAGGAGTGAGCCCAGGTGTATAGTATAATTCTTTTCCTCAGTAACTGCTCCAGTAGACTTACTTGCCTCTGGAGGTTATAGATTTGTACCTGCTCTGTCTAAGACAAAGCAATTGCAACTAGACCTTCTTTCACCCTCAGTGTGGGCAAGAGCATGAGAAGCTCCAAGCACTCTAAGCAGAAGCAGACAGCTCTGCAGGGGAGGGATACCATGTGCCGCCATCCAAGCAGGGACAGCTTCTTACAAGTATAAAATGATGTAACTATAAACTTTATTAGAGTTACCTGAAGGCTGAACAAGCTCATGATAAACAATGATGTCCTGTGCATCATTGAGGTTGTTCACTAGGGTAACCAATTCAGATCCAGTAAATTTGTTGGCACCATAGACTGCCTCATTCTCTCCGTCAATCCAGTACACACGGTCCTAGAAGACAGTCATTGCATTCCATTACTTCTATGTTGCTATTAGCTCATAATTGCTAGCCACATCCTAGCATGGGGATCTTTGACAGTTACTACACAAAGTCATTCTTACCTCAAATATTGTTAGAGCAAGAGGATGAGGAAGAAACATATGAGATTTCAGCACAATTCTACGGTCCTGGCCATTCAGGTCCACACTTGACAGCATATGCAGTTTAGAATCAAGCCAGTACAGACGGCTTTTCACAAGATCTAAGAGGAAAAAACCCAAACATATTCACTATCTATACGGAGAAAGCCTCCAAAGCCTCCTGCAAAAGGTGAAACACCTACAGGTTCAGAAATAGTTGCAGTATTGCCCTAGTTTCTTACCATGCCGGGATGCAGAAGGCTGCTGCAGTGTTGCCTAAGTGGCCTGTGCCTCAACTATAATACAGAGCAGTGCAAGGAAAGTTACCATTTCAGTATCTGAGAAGTGTTATCTGTGCCTGTTGCAGTGTCTCCAGGCACACAGGAACTTCCCATTCTCAGAAGCTGAAAATAGTTCTCTGAAGGGTGACCTTGGGTAGCAAACAAATTGCTAACGCTCCAGAATACCTCTGGCACAGAGACAAGTTCAACATACCTAGAGCAATTCCATTAGGCCACTGGATTTCTGTTGTCACAAGCTGCTGTCTGTCAAATTTGCTTTTTCAATTTTTGCTGGCTCACCCCAGTCTGACCAGTACATAAAGCTGTGAAGCAGAATTTATGTTGTATGATGCACTATAGTACTGTGTAGTATCACTCTTAACCAATAACTAAAAAAAGTCTACCTAAGTCAGTTATCAGGACATGGAGCAGCTGGCAAATCCACTTTTAGGAGAACCAGGACAAATACTCACCCAGAGAGAGGATCTACAGCAATAGAAGCTGGCTCTTTCAGCTCAGAGAAAAACAAAACCTTTCTTTTTGTGCCATCTAGGCTAGCCACTGAAATGGTCTTTGCAGTTGAGTCAGACCAGTAGATGTTCTTATAAATCCAGTCAACAGCAATTCCAGAAGGGCTCTGTATGTTGTCCAGGATTCTCACATGTGTTCCAACTTTATCACGGGTATCAATAGAGGCACTGAAAGACAAGAATTACTTGCTTTCAACCCCTTCCTCCACAAATACTACCATTTGACATGCCTTAGGAAATACTGCTCTCAGATCTCAGGCAGACAATGCAGAACATGCACTGGTGACTTTCCACAGAGTGCCTTTTGTACAATTGTAGCAGCAGCTATGAGGAAGTGCAATAGGCTATGCACACTGCTAGCTGTGGGAACTTTTATCTACTTTGTCTTTAGGACATCAGGAATATAGCTCTCATCAGCAGAGCCTAGAGAAAAGTCTTGGGTAAAATAAGGGATAGTTTAGTTTAGGGGAGCACACTAGGGTTCAGAAGGTAAGTCCATTTACCTGAATATTGCTTTTTGGCTGAAGTCAGCCCAGTAAAGCTTTTGCTCAGCAATATCAGCATCTAGAGCTACAGTGTTTCTTAGTTGCTCTACTAGCTGAATATATTCTTTCCTCTCAAGTCCGATCTTCCTGATATCCCGGCGGTTCGTGAAAATTAGACATGGTTCTTTCCCTGTGAAAAGACTGTGAATGTTATCTGTGTTTCTAGACATGCAGACACATACTGCTCCTTCCATGACAAGTTTTAAGTTATCCTGTTTAGTGTTTGCCATTCCACACCTTGCTAGTGGATGCTGGCAGAAGTCTTGGCTGCACCACATCCTCTTCCGCCTCCACAACTTGCCCAGGGGGCAGACGCAAGCTGTTTGTCTGGCAGCTTTAAGTATTGCAGCATGGCATCACTCAAAGTGTTAACAGTGTTCAGGTCTGTACAAGTTATATTGTTATGAGCCTAACAATTAGTCTCAAAACCTTAACAGCATAAACAGTACATCAATTGCTACCTCATTTTAAGTTCAGGATATAGAAGTGTTATGCCTGTACTTACCCACTGCCTTGCACACTCCAGTAGCAAGATCCATCTGATAGCCACGGCTACATTCACATTTGTAGCCCCCTTTCAGGTTGATACAGATTTGACTACAAATACCAGGGTTCTGACACTCATCAATATCTGTAAAGACAACAATACAATTTGTTCTCTCCAATACCATCAGCAGGGCCCATATTAAGCTACTTGATACTTGCCTCCACAGGTTCTCCGGTCTGTAAGCTCAAAGCCAGCTGGACAGTCACATTCATAGCCAATAACAAGATCTCTGCAGATATGAGAGCATCCACCATTGTTGACCAGACATTCATTTATGTCTAGAAGAGAAGAATTGGTGACTTTGAGATAGGACACATTTAGTCTTGAAGTCTTAGCTGTGGAGTGCTTTACCCACACATATTCTAATGATGCCTGCCACATTTGATAAATCACTTTGGCACCTGAAATCACCTGCAAGAGATCCTCTTCAAATTGCTATCTGCCCAACTATTAGCATATTACTTGGGTTACAACTGGCAGAAGCAGAAAAAGATTGAAGCTCCTGGAAGTTTCAACTTCTAATGCCTTCAATTGCCTTCTGGCCATGGTGAAGACATCCCAACAGCCAGTCTGGCTAGGAGAAAACTAGCCTATTGACTGGGCTGCTTGATTGTTTCCTTGCCACCAAGGAAGTGCAGATGGGCACTCCAGACTGACATCTGACAGCTCTGATAGCTATGTCTGGTGGTCAGCATTGCACAATGAGTTTGTTCACTTACTACACTCCTTGAGGGGCTCATCACTCCAGTCCTTGCAGTCTCTCTGCTGGTTACACACTTTATTGACATCTATGCATTCTCCACTTCGGCATTTGAATTTGCCAGGTCCAGAGCACTGAATAACTGAGATAATGAAGACTGTGAGGATGACTGCCAGTGTCAATAGATATTCTGCAAAGACTTTATTCTTGCTTAGTTCCACACTTACCATTGTTACAATTTGCTTCATCAGTACCATCCAGACAGTCCCTTACACCATTGCACTGCCTACTCCCATGGATGCAGTTCCCATCTTCACATCTGAATTGGTCTGGTCTACAGGTCCGAGAAGCTGAGGATATAGCCATTACAAATTTAAACTCATGAGGTCTGATGAAGGGAAGAAAATAAAATAGGAGCCAATCAGCACCTGCTAGAGAAGGACCAAGTCAACTTACGGCAGTTGATTTCATCGCTTCCATCCTTGCAGTCAGGATCTCCATCACAACGCCACTTTTTGTGGATACATTCACCTGAGCCACATTGCACCTCACTGGCAGAGCACTTCACGGGAGGGGCAGGCTGGCGGCCACATTGCTCCAGAGATTCATCTGAGTGGTCAGAGCAGTCAGCATCATCATCACAGACCCAGCTGATAGGGATGCAAGTGGAGCTCTTGCACTGGAACTCATGAACTCCACAGGTAGGAGGTGTACACTCCAGCTCATCACTGCCATCACTGCAGTCATCTTGGCCATTGCAGACGAAGCTTTTGGAAATACACTGCCCACTGCTGCATGTGAACTCTGCCGGACTACAAGTCACATTGCCTGGAGTAACAGGAGTAAGAGAAATTAGCAGGTTGTCACAAGAAGGCAGACTTCTGTATGAAGGTGTTTTGCTTTGCAGGTTCTTTTATCAGATGTATATAATCAGCATCAGTTAGGAGAACCTAGCTGGCCACCTACAGGACACCTAGGCCCCCAGAGACTGTCCTCCTTGGCTTTGGATGTTATGAGTGAGAGGCATCAGTTCTGAGCTACTGAGTGATGATAACCTCCTTCTGAAGCAGCTAGGCTGTTCTGCTTCAGAGTGTGAGACTTTCAGAAAACAGGCTCAAAACCTGTGAACCAGAGACAGAAAACAGGCTCAAACCCTGTGAACCAGAGAGAGAAGGCAAGAGAACTCCTAACTCTAGAGTACAGACTAAGATTAAGGTAGCCAGATGGTCAGCATGCACTGTAGTTTGAAATTGAAGTGCTTTGTGCTGCTCCCCAGGACAGGAGTGGCCCATTTCCCTGGACCACTGGGGATAACAGATCAAGATCTTGCACCAGTTGATGCTGTGGTATTAAGGACATCCACACAACTTATGCCAGTACTAGTTTAATAGCAGTGTAGCTAGCATCTCAGTATGCCTAGGCTGATAGTTTTATCAGCTTCATTAGAACCTCTCTCTCTCTGTAGACTTACTTATCAGATTCAGGTGTTTGCTTGCTGAGTAAAGCAGCAAGTCCACAGACACATCGCAGAAGTCTGGAGATCTGTGCCTCATTAGCCCATCCAGGTAAGGTGACTCTGACGGAAGCCAACCATGTGGCTTTGCTTACAACAAATCTGTCTCAGGACACCTCAGACAACTCATACATATGCAAGTTCATTAGAACAAGACAGGAATGCTGCACTCTAAAGCCTGCAGTGGAGGCTTCACTTGCCTATTAGCCTGAAGTTCAACTCCAGCACCCAAAACCTAGTCTGCACTTCCAGACAAATGCACAGAATATTCCAGGACAGCGCTATAAAGCAGATGAGCTATGCCCTTGGCTCCAAGTCACTATAACATTTTTAAAAGACTATCTGCTAGTATAAGCAGCAACTACAGATACAGAACTTTTGGAACTACAGAAATTTCGCAGAGAACAAGTTATGACGGTTTCCTTGACATGTGACTAAGGCTATAGCTATTGCCAAAGTTAGCCGGAGACCAAAGACAGATGTTGAACAGATTATATTGCTGTAGTTCTTAGCAGGATAGAGGAGTGTTAGAACAAGTCCGCTTTAAGTGGGCTGCAATACAAGATGAATGTTGGTTTAAGGAGACATTGATACTATGAGAAATTTATCTTTCCAGGTTTACTGCCCAGCTAGCTCCTTGCCAGACAAGTCAATTTCAAATAGTTATGCAGCCACTGTTTCTTCCCTTACCACAATTCTCTTCATCTTCTCCACTGTCACAGTCTTTTTCACCATCACATTTCCAGGACACTGGGATACACTGGGTTGACTGAGGACCACAGTTGATTTCATTTACTCGGCATGTTCTCAAATCTATTGAAAAAAGTTTAAGTTCAATTTAAGAGTTCTGAAACTTAAGAGCTATTGATCTTGGGTTTTAGCAGTTGTCCTGAAAGTTGAGACTGAAAGGCTTCAGCTCCAGACAAAGTTGCAGTTAATTAGATGCCAGCATTCGTCTAAGCTGATGGCTCCATCATGGAAGAGGTTACACTAGTTTGTAGTATTCAGTGAAAAAGCTGCTTCCAGCTCCTAATAGATTAGTATTTTAAGAGCGTCTTTGTAGTGGTAGTTCTGTGATTGCACACCCGTTACACTGTAGAAGCTTGAGCTATAATACATAGTAGTAGGCAGGAATAATGCCAAAGTGCAGTAGGACTTGAGGCTGAAGTATTCCTCAGTGTGTATCCTATTGATAGAGAGAGTGAAGCTTCATGGATCTTATTCTTTGATTAGTTACCCCACTTACGATCAGGACTGCTAACTGTGAGACCTCACAGTCAAGCCTCTGCACTTCTGCTTCCCACCCCTCAATATGTAGCCAGTCACTCATTTCCTACACTAGCTCTAGATATCTTGCAAAGTGGTTGTCTTGGAGGACAGTGATCGCTTGATGAATAAGCCACAGCAGTGGTCAGGCCTGCTGTGTTGTGCTTGCTCCTTCTCACTGAGAGAAAAACCTGGTACTTGCTATCTGTTACCAGGTACAAGTGCAAAGTCCCCAGTCAGTTCTTTATCTTTAAGTAATAAGAAGTCTTGTTGATACCCCAATGTGGGCCAAGCCAAACTAGCATGTAGGAAGGTGCTCCCTAACACAGGTTCAACCTTCCTTAAGGAGGAAGGCCAGGCTGTAAGCAGGCAAGAAGTCAAAATGCTACTCCCCACAGTCCTCCCTGTACTGACAGGCCAGGCTCACTTACGGCACAGTTCAGCACTCTCGTCAGACCCATCCTCGCAGTCCGGATCTCCATCACACTGCCATCTGTTAGGCACACACTGACCACTGGTGCACACGAAGTCAGATTCAGCACATGTCTTCTTCACTGCAAGGGAGAAGGACAGCCACTTGTTTAGAGACCCCAGCTTCTCTTGTTTGTTGCAGCTAGACATAAGCTGCCTTGCCCTACAAAAGTGATGCAATATAATTAGTTCTTGGATGATTGGTGTTGTCTTCAACCAGTCTAATGACTTGTGTAACACCTCCTAGAGAGTTTTATACTGTGCACAGATAAACATTTATCTTTTGGTAAGCAAGCACTGATGGACTGCTACTTTTCAGGGAAACCGTGCTGCTAGAACAGCTGCTGCTTTGAACACATTTGAGTTAAAGCTAGCTCTATTGGTAGTAACATTCAGATTTTGAACTGTGAGTTTATTATCAAGGCATTTGCTTGTCATTAAAAAAGCACAGCACTTTGTAACCCTAAGGTAACAGTTTAGGTCTGCTTGAACAGACTGATAGTTCAATCACACCAGTGTTGGATATTGAGTCCTTTTTGCCTTGTCTCTAAGTACATCTAGTCATCCATCTTAGCCTCTATGTCTGCTTAAAGCAAGAGTTGGCAGCCAAACCTAGACTTAGCGTTTATAGGGGACTAAGCAGAATTACTTTCACACACAAAACAAGGCATTTAACCATGGAATAGCTAACAGCTAAGTGCTAAGAGCAAACAGTTTCTACTATGTCTTCAAGCACCAAGTGTAAACTGTCTCCATTCTGTCCTTGACAGTTATTGCCCTTGCAAATAAAGAGTTTTGGTTCCGCTTTCTTCTCTTAATTACCAACTCCAGGAGACTTTCACAGCTTTCAGGAAGATCCAACTGCCTTGGATGGATAAAAGGCATCCAGATAGTCCCCCAGTTGTTCCAGGGAATTTGTTTTCCACTTTGTATTCCATTTACCAGAAGTGCTGGATGGAATAAGGATTTCTCTAGCTATTTCTCCACTGCAAGGCCCCCCTGCTATAGAGGTATGATTTCGATTACTTACCACAAGCAGTCTCATCACTGCCATCTGAACAGTCCTCATCACCATCACATTTCCAGAGTGACGGAATACAGCGTCCGTTACTACATGGGAACTGGGATTCTTCACACTTTGCTCTCGCACCTTCAATGAAAAAAAGGAAGGCAATTCCCAATACTGTTCAGGAATACTTTCTTGCTTTTACCTCACTGCTGATCTAGAAGTTATCCAGCTTAATAAACACCATAACAATACCATAAAACCTAGTCTGAACTCCAAATCTGTGTAGTCACCTTATTCAACCCAGAAAGTAAATCCAGAATCTTTCCTTCACAGTACAAGTGCAGAGCTTAAGCACTATGACAGTCCATCTGCCAGACACACAACAATAAACTTGCCTCAGTGTTCCTACTGAATTTTCCTTTCAAGGCAGGTCAAGTTGCAAGGCAGAGGGGTGCATGCACACAGCGACTTCTTCTATCTAATATCTAGCCTTGCATTTTCAAAACTTTTCAAACTTTAGGCAGGCTAGGTTTAAACCTGACTAATGTCGACCTGGATTAGCATTTCAGTACACACTGCTACCACATAACAGCACACTCCCCAAGATGTCCATAAGGATAACTTTATCTGGTCTGAACAAGTTCATCTGATATCTGTAGAAAAACAAGTTTTCAGTAAGTTACTCCTCAAACAAGGGCACCCGGAGACATTCCTTAGCATCCACAAAAAGAAGTGTTATTACTTATCTGGATCTTGTTTATTAAAGCTAGATCAGGTGTGACACAAAGAGAGCAAGACAATTTATCACTTCCTTTTGGAACACAGTCTGTTGTCTCCCAACGGGTAACAGTCTTGATTTGTTAGTACGCATGAGAAACGTACTGCTTTCTATATGGCACTTAGGAGTTACCAACTCTAAAACTGTATGACCCCATCCCCAAGGGAATCTACTTTGTCTTAAAGCAGTGTTATAACGATCCCTAAAAGCAGCAGCCTGCTTCTTCAGCAGCTGAGCCAGAGCTGTTTCATGGAACGCATGCAGGCACGTGTGTAATTTCCTGCATTAGTATTGGCTGCACGTGTCTAAGGCAATACGCAAGCCCTCTGCTCCTCCTTGGTTTATTGCATCATTTAGTGCTTTGACTTGGCATTTCAGGGCTCAAAAAGGGCATCAAATTTTAGTAGAACATTACTTTTCATTTTATATCTTCTGTGTGTGACATGCAAAATGCAAGAGAGCTTCCAAGTGCAAGGAAGCTTTTCAGCTATTTTACATTATACTGGTCAGCTATCAGGCACTAGGCAATGGCAAACCCTGGACAGGGTACAAGCAAAAAAAAAATACAGGCAATTTTACCTGCCAAGTGTCTCATGTATATCCACGCTAGAAGTAAGGGATTTGAAACTGCAGCTTACCGAGTCCTGCTAATGCTTTAGCATTTGTGCTCGCTGAGCACAACTCACTTGTGTCAGACAGGGCCACAACAACTTCTTTTGTGGGAACTGTGTTCAAAGAGTGCCAAAAAATTTGAACATCAGCTCTTATACTCTGTATTTCCATCCCTCCTTCCCTCTTCAGGACAGGAGTTACACTAGCGTGACTTTGTAAGGCTACCTCTATTTGGCCAAAAGATGTCAAACAAGAAGATTGCCTTGTGCTAGAAGGCAACTCTGCTGCCAGCTTAGAGAGGGCACAGAAGCCACAGTTATCAGTTTCTTCTAAGCCTGCTGTCCAGTAGCCCTCGTTGTCCAGAAACCTCTAACAGAATTAGCCTTCTGCTTGCAAGCTCCATTGACACAGTATTCCAGTTATTACTGTACTACCACCTAAAACATGCAATGACGGACTCCAACTAGTTTTGAGACTTTCTTATCCAGGCTTGCAGAGTGAGAACAGTTAACCTTTCCCAAAATAGCACACTAGAGATATTAGACTAAGCCTGCCACTCAGGAGATCCCAAAATAACTCCACAGTTACTCCATTTCAAGCCAGAATAACTAGAAAAGGCTTGCTAAACTATCCTATTACACTGTGACTTAATAACATCACTTAGACCTAATGCTGTGGTGAAGCTGCACACAAGGCTAAATGAAACAGTGATTGTGCCTGGAGTAACAGCTATAACTTTACAATTGCCACCTTTACAACATGCCATCCCAAGAAGGTATCATCACTTCTGCAGCTGATACCAAGTGAAATGTCAAAGCCACTACTTTTGTTAGCTCACACACAAGTAAAGAACTGACAGCGCCTAACACCCACACAGGTGGCCCAAAGGTAAAGGTCATCATCTGTTGCTGCCATTGAAGGTGTCTGTCAAACTCTAAAGGCCACTTGGAGTGAGCTCCAGGTAAAGACAAACATTAGCTCCAGCCAGTAACTAACTATGCTCCCATCTGACACAAAGCAGAGTTCTGCAGTGCCAGGTAGCTATTTAGTCATAACACTACTGGTCTAATCCACGGCAATTTGAAGTAACAGAGTCACACTTCAGTTGCAGCTTCAGCCACTAGACACTTAACAACTTTTAGGCACCAATTAGCCACTAAATTAAAGCTTCTTCTCATGTGCTACTCATACACTAGAAGCACACTCACACCTTTTCTCCTCCCTGGGATAAGGCTTAGGCAAAAAATGTAAAGAATCAGTAACTTCACAGCCTGTCATTGCTAAGATATATTATTTTACTATTTCCCAGGTAACTACTTAGTAGAAGCTGGCTCATAAGCAGCAACGTGTGCCAGGTGAAGAAGCACAGTTATAATGACCACCCAAGCTAAACTAGCTTTCTCCCTGCCTTTGCTGTCGCTGTTTGTCTGAGCCCCTTAAGCAAATTGTCAGATCACTTGTCTGAGCAGCCTCAAACATGTGACACTTGTGTCCTGTCATCTGACACCAAGTCTCAGAAAAGCTTGCAACAGCCATTGGTAAACTTTGTTAGAGCTCATACAGGAACTAGCTTAGACTCCCCCCAGACCCTGGCAGTTGCAGCTATTAGGGGGAAGGAGCTGGTGGGGCCACTAACTCAAACTGAGAGAAGACTCAGACTAACCTGGTGGACTAAAGTTGCCCCCCACCACAGATCTCTTGTTATTATTTCTGACCACAGTGCACAAGCAGTTTCACTGCCAGCCAGCACGGTCCTTCATGCCACAGCTGCTTAGTCACGTCTGTTCTAGACCAGACATGGGAGCAATCTGCATGACTGGGAACTGAGGAGTGACTAGGCAGACATTTCTCCCTCTCTTCTTGCACGAGGACTGGAAGCAACAATCCCCTGGCTGGGCTCTACCTGACAGACCCGGTGTCTTAACTACTGTGCACAGTTACGACTACAAGGGCCACCTCACACCTCACCGACACAGCCAAGACCTCAGGCCTGCTTTAGGGCACTAGTGAGGAAGAGCCACACAACCACGCAGCCGTCAGCTGCCCACCTCCCACCTGGACCCCACTTCCTGAAGGAAGGAAGGAGTCAGACCGTGGATCATCACCTCCCCACGAGGGGAACACCCTCCCACAAACTTGCAGGTCCCTCTG